CCCTTCTGCTGTTGCATGAGTTGGTCTCTTGGTGGTCTCTTCCTCCGACRTTCGCCGGACCCTTACAATTTTCACCTCCTTTTCACTGTGCCTTACTATTATAACTGTTCTTACATTTTTGGTTTCCATATGAATCTGTCTCCCTTGTCTTGTTTTTTAGGATTTCTGAGTTCTCAATTAAATCCGATGAAATAAATCTTTTCCAGGTACCCTCCCAGAGACTCCATTGAATAGTCTTTGAATAGTCGGCACACATGCTATAAAGTTCTCTCCCTCAGGAAGAAGCCAGTTTTATCATAGAGACCCTGACAGATCTAACAGCTTTATCCAATATTCCATGAGGTCACTGCCAGGTTCACAAAGCTTCCTCCTCATCTGAGCCACCCATTTCATTATCTTTGTTATAGATCAGGCACTCAAAAACCTCCATAGGTGTCAGAATCAGCTGGGTAACTTCTTAAAACACAAATTATAGGAGTCATCCTTGAAGTTTCTCTTCTAGTTGCTCTGTGGATGAAGCCCAGGCATTTGCATTTATAATAAGTTCTCAGGATGTAAATGTTGCTGTTCTGGGGAACCATATTTCAAGAACCACAGCTGTAGATAATTATGTAAGGGCTCATCACCCTAAGATAGGGCAATCAGCTTCTCTCAGGAATTTGAAATTTGGAGCAAAGAGTCAAAGAGACTGAGGGCTACTACAGAAGGTTTGAAAAACACCACTGCCCAAGGTCCCAGAGCTGGTGGGTTCTTATTCTTCATGAGCTTTGGTTGGAATTATCCTTTGAATAAATTCCTTCACTGCCCATAGAAAGTTTCTGTTGTGTACCACTAAAAGAACTTTAACTAAGACCTGAATATATCTTGTATCAACAAGAAAACAGAAACCAGGGCTGGGGTTGTGGCTCAATGGTAGAGCGCTTGCCTAGCATGGGAAGGCACTGGGTTTGATTTTTCAGTACCACATATAAATAAATGAATAAAATAAAGATCCATCAACATCCAAAAAATGTTAAAAAAAAAAAGGAAACAGAAACCATTCAAAGTATTTAAAACAGACAACATAGTGCAGGAAATTGATCACAATGGCAACAGAACATCTGAGAAGCCAAACACACAATTTGAAGATTAGCAAAGCAGGAAGTTACCTCTATCCCTAGATTGGAGGGATAAAAGCAGAAGGTGGTGTTAGCAGAAGCTTCTGTGACCTAGAATAAGCTGGAACCATAATAGACTAGTCCAATCAGGAAAATGCTTCTGCTACTGCCAGAAACAGTACCCAGGGCATCTCCGAAGAGTGGAAGAAATGCCCTAGCTTTACCCTTCCTTCTGCTTTTACTCTCTGGCAGTGCCTCTCCATGCCAGGAAGCTTGGGAATGGGCTTGCCATGATACTGAAGACAGCTGGGCATTACGGAAAGATAAGTTATGGTTAAGATAATTTATGAGATAAAGATATGGAAAGATAAGTTATAAAAACAAACTGTAGACCAACACTGTTCAATTCTGAATTTCTGATTTTTTTTTCTTCAAAGTTCATTTTACCTACTTACAAACTAGAGGAAGAGTAAGATAATATGTGCATGCTATATAACTTCTAATAGTGTCTTGTTAAGAATAAGAATTTGGGGGACTAGGGATATAACTCAGTGGTAGAGCATTTGCCTTTCATATGCAAGGACCTAGGTTGATCCCCAGCACCAGAAAAAAAAAGTATTTGAATAGGTTTTCATTAACTTTTTCCAGAATTAGGCCTTACATTTCTGAGGTCATTTTCATGGGAAAATGGCAAATGACAACAAGAACTAGGATTTGTAGTTAGTTTGAAAAGTATTTTCACAAATCTCCTCTAATTTAATCCTCAAAAGCCTTTTAAAGTAGGCATTATTCTTAACCCAATTTTATAAATAAGGACAGTGAAGCTCAGAGAGAATAAGCAACACATATAAGCAAAGTGAAATGGATCAAGATGGTAAAATGGCACAATTCCAGACATGTTCAGTATCCAACTTAATTGTTGCAAAACACCAAGCTATTGTGTGAAAATACATTTAAGGCTACAAATTGACTTTTCTCTCTATTGATGTTCCAATTCCTCCTTTAACTAAAACCTAATATCTAGAGAAAAATCTTATAACTGAGAGAGGTTATTTTGAAAGATGAGCCTTGGCCAGGTGCCTTTGCCCCTCCCCATTCCTGTATAGAGGTTCTATTCTCAACTGTCCGTTCCTAATTAACAGGCCATGATTATCAAATGTGGCAGGGCTTTTTATAAGATAATTCTAGAACAGCAGTAGTCATTTGAAAAGTAAAGAAACCCTGTGGACTGAGAATATAAATTAAGATAGAGTGGGTGTTTTTGATGGTTTATAAGACTACTCAATCACCTAGAATTAAATACATACACAATAAGTGTGTGAAAAAGTGTGTGTGTGTGTGTGTGTGTGTGTGTGTGTGTGTGAGAGAGAGAGAGAGAGAGAGAGAGAGAGAGAGAGATATCGAGATCCTGTGTGTCTCCGTAGAAGGTCTCAACTTGCTCTGGATCCAGTTCTGCAGACTGCATTTATGATGCTAAAGAGCCATCTTTGTTTCCCTTGGTTACCATGCAACAGTGAGCAGGGATCAGTTCAAATCCATCACCACTTAGAGGAAAACGTTTTCAAACACAATGCCTTCTATTTATATCTATTATCTATACTCATATATATTTTTTAGAAAGAAATCTCATATGCACATATCCATACACTTCTGTGCTCACAGTATGTTGTATGTGCTGTGCCCTTTATATGTGGGAATGAGCTATATCACATGGTATACCCCTGTGATCTTAGTTGTTACAGAGAATGGAATTTTATTCCTCAGGCAGACCTATCCTTTCCTTTCCTTCATTGCTGAAAAACCAGGAGAATTTGCTGTAAGGTGATTTCTCCTATAAAATTACTCCTCAGAGTGTGTCCCAACAATAGACTTTAAATCTAAAAGGATAAGTCCTACCTTATAGAAAGTCTCCACATTCAATTTATTGACTCAATAAATTTCAGGCTCACTGATTATGTTTCCATCTAAAAGCTTTACACAGCTATAAAACTGGAAGTGCCTTTAGAATCATTCAACTTTCTTTTTGAATATTTTTCCACAGTGAACTGTGTAACATATTAGACCTACCCATTAGCTAGAGTATCACTGATTGCACATTTAATCTGATGGCCAAAGGAACATTTGTATTGTCTGGGTTCCATTTAAGATAATATTTGACATGGACAGACTAGCTCAGAATAAAAAAGCAATATTCAAAGTTATCTTTCTTTGGTGGCAGAGAATGGGTCTGTTCTGTAAAGAACAGGCTTGTTGAAATTAGAATTCAGCACTAAAACATCTCTGTTAGCAAAACAGAGCATTTTCTTCTCCCCCAAGATCCTTAACTAGTTCCACAAATATTTTGCATTTGAACCTAAGTTACTATTGTAGAATGAAATGAAAGGGGTGATAGAATTTCCACTAATAATTAGGTAGGAAAGTATCTTAATTGTGAACGTTCATTTCCCAAGAAGCAGAGTTGTCTAGAGATTTTGCTAGTGGAAATATGGGTGTGAGCTTACCCCCGTATATTGTCAAGACACATCCAATATCATTATAATTTACTATATAACGTGAAAAAACACATTGAGTTATTTTTTTTTTTGTCTCCTCCTCCTCCTTCTTTTTCTTTTTCATGTTAGAAGACACCTGAAAATTTGCTCTTAGTGTTAATTTTTCATGTTTGGTATTCATTAAATAATTGGACAATTCAACAGAGCCTTTTTTACATGCTAAAAATAAAATCTGCCCAATGGGTCAGTATTTTGCTGCGCATCTTTTGCATACATTTGAGTAAACATTTAGATGTATTAGGATCAGGACAATTCTTGAAGTTACAATGTAGTTCTTTAAAAGTCTTTTAGAAAACGTTCCTAATGAATAGTATAGAAAATGAGAGGGAGAGTGTTTTGGATTTAAAACCATATGTACACACACACACACACACACACACACACACACAATAAATAAATAAATAAATAAATAAATGTACTGAAACTTGTGACTAGCTTGTTATCTTCCTAGGAGTTGAGAGCCACCAGAGCGGGAAGTCTCTGCGGGGATGAACAAAAGCATGGCTGCGCGATAGTATTATCTCTGCAGCAGCAGCAGGCTCTCTGACGGAGGGTTGCGGCGACTGTCGCTGTCTAGTCTATTACACTGCATTTTTATTAGTGACAGACTCTGGTTATTCTGTCAGCTAAGCCGACTAAGCTGTTCCCCACGTTCTTCCTGATCATCCGGTCTCCGGTAAGTGGGGAGAGGGAAAGAGAAGATAAAGGTGAACTGAACCACTCTGGGTGCTCAAGGATTCCTCCCTTTCGCTGCTGGCGTTGCCTCATTCTAGGGGACTTGGGGAAATACCAGGACCATATTTAGCCCAGAAACCAGTGTGTCCTCCAAATTAGTTGCTATGCTTAGGGAAGGCAAAGAAAAGGCTTAATCGTCCCTTCCTAGCTGGGGCTTAGAAAGCTCAGCAGGTTAGAACTGCCTGGCGGGTGCGCACAAGTCCCGGACCTCTCGCGGCCCTCGGAGCCCGCGAGCTAGGCAGAATAGAGGTCAAGTCAAAGGGTACGACCACCGGGTGCCCCTCCCTCTCGCTTGTGCTGTCCGCAGCTCAGCTTCCGAACGACCACCGTGGGCACAGCAAGGCGGGAGGGCGGGGAGGGGGCGGGTCTCGGAGGGGGCGGGACCAGGGGGCGGGTACGGGGGTGGTGGAACTCAGGGTTGCTTCGGGAATTGTAGTCCTAATGAGCCCCGGCAGCGAGACTGTCCCGGTTTGGTCTGTCGGGTAGATAATACAACTCCCAAGAGCCTACGGGTCCGACCGGGGAGTCCATGCGCAGTGGGCGCCACATTGTAGCCTATCAGGCGAAGAGAGGGTGATGTCACCTGCGAGTTGGTAACCTACGAGCGGCTGCGAAGGGAAACTGTTTAACCGGATCCCATTGTATCCGGAGCACAGAGCCGTCTTTCCAGCATGCAGGGGCTGCTCAGGTAAAGGGGACGTACCGTCTCTCCCGCCACACTCATTCATTAAGTGGCACCGCGCGGTGGCGCGGGGGTGGGTGTGCTTCCTTGGGCCAGGCGCCGGATTCGGGAGGCGCGCCCTCCCGCTGCCTGCCTGGAGCTCCCGGGCCAGTAGGTAAATATTAAACCCGTCCTTCAGGTTGGGTCTGGGTGGGAACAGGACCGAGACAGCTCCCGGCTGCCAATCTGGGGTTTGGAAAATGGCTGCAGCGCGGCACAAAACGAGTTGAGCCCAGAGGAAGGCGCTTCCGAGGACCGGGGGCGCTCCCGAGGACAGGGGTCCCTCCCTCCTTTCTTTCTGAGGCTCCTGGATGGCAGGGGAGCCAGCTGGGTACCGGTTGTCGCTATGTTACAAGCTCCCGGGCTGGGCGCCGGGAGATCGTAGCCTTGGCTAGGGGCTGAGAGCACTGCACTGGCGTTCCGGAGCTCCTGGCCCAGCGATTCCCAGAGGGAGAATCCTGAGGCAGGCTTGCTGGACACGGAGGTGGCCACAGAGAAGGAGAGACCCTTCAGCGTCTGAGTAGAAACCCCACCGTCCCTGGTACCCTCACTTAAAGCCCCATTTGAAAGGGGCGGGATGACTGTAATCAGGAAAAGTAGGAACTAAATGTTTCAAAAAAGAATAGAGGGAAATATTGCGTTGCAGAGCGAGCTAGGGGTGTTGGCGGACAGCAGCGAGGGGAGGCTGCGCCTCCTGCGGACCGGGTTCCCGGCGCTGCAGAGCTCTACCCCGTCGCGTCCTTCTCCGGAGGGCGCACCTCGGTCTCCCAGTACTGAATCGCTTGCTCTGCAAAGAGCACTTGGGCTGTGTAGCGCCTGCCCCGGAGCCCTGGGGTTAAGGGTGGGTGGTTGGGGGTGTCGGATAATCTAAAGATAAGGCTAGCTCTGGGGCAGGAGGGCTGGATAATCGGGTTTACCCAGCTGGTACCGAAAGCTAACTGCTTGTGATCGGCTTGTCCTCTGACTGGAGACGTCCGGACTTAAGTCCCCAGGATTCTCTTTTCCCCTAGTACCTTTATTTGTTCGTTCACTCACTCGTTCATCTAACCCTAGTAAGGTCTTTTTCTCGAGTTGCTTACAGCTTGGGTTTGGGCGTTCTGTCTCTTACGCCGATAAAATATTTTCGTGCGCTCTGGCATAGATTCCTGCACCCCATTCCGGACCTCCCGCCTTATATCTCTCAGGAGAGCATCGAGAGCAAATGCCTCCAGTGTCCATTTTTACTCTCATTGAAGTGGTGGTTTTGTGAGATCCGAGCAAGACCTAGTGAATTGAAGCAGAGTTTGCCTGCAGGACGAATCCCGTTGCTATGGCGACTCCTGCCCTCGGAATCTTAACTGCTCCCACTGCTGTTTCGATTCGATGTGGCTCTGCGGCCAGCTGGGAGGGCGTGGCCTGTGGGTGTGGTCAAATGYCTGTCCTGGGCCCAGCTGCTCTCTCCTCTTCACCCCTTTCACAGCCCTGGACTCTTGTAAATAGTTTGGACACAGTTCTCGGACCCATTTTCCCACTCTCATGCATATACTTCATCTGTCCACCTCCTTCCCCACAACTGTGGGAAGCCTTTTCCTTGAGGCAAACTCTGAAAGTCACAGTTTGAAAGATCTTTTTCCCCTTTCAGGCTACCTGCATCTTTCCCCAATWGTGTTGGAGGCAGTTTTTTTCAAGAAAGGTGCTCTACTCTGTTCTTTATAAAGAGAGTTTCCTGGTCACGAGTAAAGGTACCCAGTTTGTCCTAGGTGCAGTTGACTGGAAGTGATTTGGGGACATTTGATCAGTGAAGTTGAATTTTGGAAATCCCTGCCATGCTTTAGGGTTCTGGGAAAATCTAAATGCCATCCCAAAGGATGCAGGTCCTTGAGTAAAGCACATGTGGCTGGGAGCCAAGAGCCCTGGATCATGATCTGGCTCTGTCATTATTGGCTAGCTCACTCTGAGGTTTACCCTTTACTGCTGGGAACCTCTGTCTTCTCCTTGATAATGTGAGAAGAGTACTATAGAGGATTTCCAAAATTGATTCTAGGTAAAAACTCTTGTGACTCTAAAAAAATACTTGGTTATTCCCCCCACCCTCCAAAGTATTCTGAAGATGAGGGTTTAAACCCAGTTTCTGACACTGTGGCATTGGGTTATTGTTGCTGAACCTTACTATTATGACAAAATACCTTGGTTCAGCTCGTGCACTGTGCCTGTAATCCCAGTGGCTGAGGAGGCTGAGGCAGGAGGATTCAGAGTTCAAAGCCAGCCCCAGCAAAAGTGAGGTGCTAAGCAACTCAGGGGGACCCTGTCTCTAAAATACAGAATAGGTCTGGGGATGTGAGCTTAGTGGTTGAGTGTCCCYGAGTTCAATCCCCAGCACCCCCGCCTCCCCAAATAGCTTGGTTCTTCATGGTAATGCTTCAAAGTTGGCAAGGCAGCTTCATTATTGTTTATAATAATAATAATGTTTATAATTATAATGTGCTTCTACTACTACACTATTACTTTAGTATCTGGACTTCTAATTATACTTTAGTCTTAGAATTAATTGTTTAAGCTTTGCCATTCTACAGACTTTTGGTGAATACAATTACTTGTAATCTAAGTACATTTAGTATAATTAAATTATACAAAGATTCTGTTTACTCTCTGCTTGGATTTTATACCAAGTGCATTATCAGAAAAGTCACAGTAGGAGGTGGAAAGTGTGTACATGTATGTCAGGCACATGCATTCATGTTCAGGTTAATGTTTAAGGATGCTGAGTTCCAAGTGATTGACACTCATCATCTTGTCTTAAGTAGGTGATTACATCCCTACTGATTACATTCCCCATAGTAGTATTCCTCTTAGTTTCCTGAAGTTGTCTTAACCAAAACACCGTGTGACATAAAAGGCCTTCCTTGTATTTGAAATAGAGAGATATATTCTATAGTTATTTGCTTTTGAAAATATGTTCACCTACTTAGACATTTTTTTTTTTTTTAAGGTTAGAATTTCTTCTTAACCCAACCAGGCATTTCTAGATTTCTATCAATCACTCTTCTTAGTCTGGCTAACTCTTCCAGGAGGTGTATGACAGGAGAATGGGGAAAGAGACCAAGGCAAAGATTCCTAGAGACCCTGCCAGGCTACTAATGTCTCTTAGAAAAGCTGGGGCACAGCAGTGCAGTCATCTCATCTGGGTTAGAATTGCTTTACAAACAGGATCACTTGTCCCAGACTGGGTGATATGAAAACAGAACATTTGTCCAATATTTGTAACATTGTTATCCAGTAGTCAGATTCTTAGATTTTCAGAAGTATAAGTTATATGAGTCTGGTGTGATAGTAAAGGGGGCGTGGTGGGTCACATCCTTGGGTGGTGCTCACAGGAGCTCAGTGAATAGGTGTTGAGGAATTTGAATTCTGGCTTTTTTGCTTTGCAGACAGTTCTAGGTGTTAACAAGGTAAGTCTCTGTGTGGTTTTATTTGAGCTACTTTGTGTAAAAGGCTGCTTTTAGTGTTGATGCTGTGGTTCTGAGAACAAATAAGATGTTTACAAATAAAACACAGTGAAGATTGAAAGTGTTTCAGTTTGTAAATATTTCGGGGATGGTATAAAGAGTGGCTTTGGTTTGAGAATCTAGAATCCTTCTGTAAAAACACTTTAAAAGTTACAACTGTTGATGAGAGGAAACAAACTTTTCCAACAAAGCTGGTACCATTGACAGCCTTAGGTGTTGGGTTCAGAAAATTATCAACAGAGCTTGTCCCTGCTATGGGGCCCTCCCTGGCTTCCAGTCATGCTCTTGTATTTTCAAATATTAAGTCTATCTTCATACTGCAGAAAACAAAGCAACTTTGCCAATTTAGGTTAGCAAATTTGTTTTCTCTCTGATGGGGCCTCAGTCAAAACAAAAGTGATTTTTTTCCTCTTTGGAAGAGGACTTTGGACGACTGTTGCTTATTTTGGTGATACTATGTCTAACTTGGTGATGAGGAAATCTTATAAATGAATATTAAATACAGCATCTGTTCTAAGTGGTTTCCCTAAGAGCTTCAAGTTTACAGGCGGCTGAATACACAGGTACTGTTTAAGAAACTGGTACTACTGAGGGTGTTTTTTTTGCATGTGGCTGAGGAGTATGTCTGGTTGGCAGAGCAGGCTGGGGCAGGCTGAGGTGGAGGATACTGCTTTTGAAGTTACATTAACTTAATAGACGTACTGTCTTTAATGTAGATTGTGTTATTTACAGTGGCTTAGGTTGCTGACAGGGACTGGAATTGAAAGATCTGAAGCATGGGGGGAGGGTGGGGAATTCCAAACACCACCAAATTAGTACCCCCACCGAAAGAGGGACAGATGAAGATGAGATGCAAGTTGATTTTAGTGACCTACATTCCACTCTAGTAGACTCTTTATGCAGGAAAAGAAAAAAGGTGTTCRTACCTTTTTATCTTCTGGGATCCTTTCTACTATTTCAGGAGCAGAGAACATTCCAGAGAGGATTTAAATCCATAATGTGTAAAATTCAGTTAAGTATTGAAGCACAGCAACAAGTGTACAGAGCCTTGCCCCCAACCCTCATTAATGCAGAGTTAGCAAACACTCCCTCAGCATTGGTGAGCCTATTTTCTTCATGGGTACTTAAGCATTCCTGTGACTTTCTGCATCAGAGGTTCTTCTTACCTGGGGTGTGCACCCCTTTAGCTTCTCAAGTACTTCAGGTGCTTTCAGATCCAGCTCAGATGCCATAGCTTCCAGGATGGCTTCCTACCTTACCCCTTCCTCCTTAGAACCTTTCGCCTGACCGCAGCACACTTAATAGCATCTGTGTGACAGCTCAAGCCCTTTCTGATACTTTATGTGGACTACATCATGGACTTCTCACTATTGCACAAGCTAGATACTATTATTGCCATTTTACAGATAAGGAATTTGAGGAGTTTGCCTAGCTGTGGTCTGTAAGTGCCAGACCAGGTTGGGGATCCAAGCAGTCTCATTC